TGGGAGTTAAATATCAGACAAAATCCGCGACGGTGCGTTTTCGTGCGTTAGGGAACGTATTTTGAGGGCTCGGCGGTCTCTGAGCAGAAGGAAGCTCTTCGATTCTTAACTGGAAGCAATGCCAGGCAAAAGCGGTCACCCTCTTTCGGGGGTCTCAGATTCGAGACGTCTGTGTTTTGCAGCACGGGGAGGGGGCGGAATTGAAGGTGCTGCCGTAGCGTTTATCGTCAAAAGGGAGACGCAGCAGCCCTGCCAGATCGCGTGGAACGATTTATCGTCTCGTAAAACAGAAACACCGTGGCGGCGAATACCTCCAAAACGTAAAACTATTTGGCTGAGCGATGAACAGGAGAAAACCGTGAATAATGTTTGTACCTGGCTCGTTATGGGCAGTTCCTTACAGGGAGCTTGCAGAAATACGCTCCCTAAACGGGCCGCTTGCGTTTCATTTGTTTCTTCTCAGGTAACGCGTTTCCGAGTGATGCTGATGAGTCTCCTTCAATTTACCGCTAGAAGGTTGGTTTCCCAAGCGTACTGTGGACTGAAGGCTGCTTCTTCAAAGAAACAGAAGTTTTGCTTGGAAATGGCTCGACCTAGTTCAAGTAAGACATCTCTCTCTCTCCTTTCGTACCCCGGACAGGTGCTTAAGCTCGATTTGAAGTTCTAGAAGGTTTCGTGTAACAGATGGAATCGATAGTTCAACGCAAAATGTTTAGAAGAGCGTGAAGTTGATTTCTTTTTTTTTTCCCAGCTGCTAAAATTTATCTTCTGTGGATAGTTCCAAAAACCCTTGTATAGTTGCAGTTAGTGTGGTTGCCTGGTAATTTGGTTTTAGTATTTATAATTCATGCACATAAATGCGTGCTAATTAATTGCATTCCCTTTTCGTAATCCTAATGGGCAATAAAAGTCACTCATTTCTTTGCACAGGAATTATGGAGGGCCTCGAGCATTTGTAACAACTCGGGAGCGGGGTATTGGGTAACTCCAGGAGCTTTGTTGAGTCTAGTAGTAGTAAATACCCTCGTTTTGTTTGTTGGGGTTTTTTCTTGTTTTGTTTTTTTAATTTGAGGATGTGTTTTAATTAGAAAACCACGCACAGAACTCCACAGGTGTAACAGTAAAATCCCTAACAGTTGGGCAGCCAAGGTGCGCTTGCTTTTTCCGCCCCCTGGAGCACCAGTGTTTGGCTGCTGTCAGAGACCGGAGGCTGGGCTAGGGGGACTTTTGGCCTCATCTTGACACGGTCACGGGCTTTGTCAGGTTTGGTTGACAACAGCTGACGGGGCATCGGAATCGTAGTGTTCTCTGCCCAGTTCTATGGCGCTCGTGCTGTGGGTCTGGGGACTTCTCCAGTAACTCTCTCTCCTTATAAAAACTTCGCGGCCTTTGGTTTAAAAAAAAAAAACCAAAAAAAACCAGCACCACATGGTGAATTGCGAAGATTAGGGTTGTGATCAGCAGCTCCAAGTCCAGCTGGTGGCCAGTCACTAGTGGTGTACTGTAGGAGTCAATACTGGGGCTGATACTATCCAACACCTTCATTAACGACCTGGATGATGGGGCAGAGCATGTGCTCAGCAAGTTTTCAGATGATACGAAGCTGGGAGGAGTGGCTGATACACCAGAGGGTCGTGCTGCCATCCAGAGGGACCTCGGCAGGCTGGGGACACAGGCCGAGAGGAACCTCATGAAGTTCAGCAAATGGAAATGCCAAGTCCTGCCCCTGGGGAGGTATAGCCCCAGGCACCAGGACAGGCTGGGGCCAACCTGCTGGAAAGGCCCTGAGGGTCCTGGTGGACACCAAGTTGACCATGAGCCAGCGATGAGCCCTTCTGGCAATGAAGGCTAATGGGTGTCCTGGGCTGCAGTAGGCAGAGCATCTCCAGCAGGTGGAGGGAGGTGGTCCCTCCCCTCTGCTCAGCCCTGGTGAGGCCACACCTGGAGTGCTGGGTCCAGCGCTGGGCTCCCCAGTACAAGAGAGATATGGACATACTGGAGAGAGTCCAGCAAAGGGCCACAAAGACGATTAAAGGTTTGGAGCACCTGACATGGGAGGAGAGGCTGGGAGAGCTGGGACTG